ACGGAACCCCATTTGTGTTCTCGCGGGAAAACACCAATTGGGAAACGCTGCCTTAAACAATCAAGGCGCACAGTACCTGAAAGACCTCCTGACACCCTCTTGTTCACTTCGGTAAACCAGCAAATTCTCCTGTCACTGCCAAGACAAACTCAGGTTCCAGGGCATTCAGCCACGATGCCCCTACCTTCTGGAAATCTTTACCGTGCTCAATCAGAGAGGCACCATCCTTACAGACTTAAAAAAAGCAACAACAACAAAAAAACCTAAAGACCCACCTCTTCCATCAGGCATTCAGTCTGCTCATCAGACCATCAGAACTCCTAACTTTTATATCTTTAGGTTTGTATATTTGTAAAATGCTTTGAGTCTCACAGGGAGCTATAAAACTCGCAAATTATTATTTTTATATTAACAACATTTGATGTAAAACAGTGGATTATATCTACATAGTAATTCAATGTTCGCAAATACCTTCTTACAGCAGCATTCAGTTTAGGCAGAAAATATGGTAATAGATGATTTTTTTAATGTTTTAAACAGGAACCGTCAGTTCCTCAAATTTTGCACAGCCAAACCGCTAATACTGGTTTTTCTAAAATTCTTAACAAATTATTTTTCTTTCTTTGGCCAATGTGTGTTAATTGGTTAACTCTTGCAATGCCATGCCTACAGAACATGCTTCCAGTTACACTTGAAATTTTCTCCACCAGTGCTGTACGCAGGCACACAAACAAAATAAAGGAAAATACATTTGAAAACCTTTACCACAGCCTTTTAGTTAGCATTTGTGCAAAAAATTCAAAATGTCTATTAGATGTCAAACCTACAACAGTACTTCATTACAGTCGTAAAAATGTTGCTCCCTATTTAAAAAAAAACCCATCTAATTCAGTTGAAATATGGACTAAAGTTCAACAAGTAAAAAAATTTCTGTTAACATTTATGTGCCAGTCTAGAAGAAAAACGCTCACTTTTTGTCACAATGTTTAATTTTGCACTAAAAACCATAGAAGTTGTTCACTAAACTGATGTTCTGTGTTGATAGATGGCATAGATTAGAGAAAAATTAATAGCAAAGTTAGCATTTTTTGCTTCCAATTCTGCTTTTTTTAAACCCCAAATAAAGTTCCTTGACTATAATATGACAGAGAACATCACCAAGTCAAGATACAACCACATAAAATGACTGATCAGATTTTTTTTAAACTTTATTATGCCCTTCAGAACTAGGTATGGTGCCAGGAGAACTGCACAATACCATAGAGGATACTCGAAATAGTAATAGAAGGAAACAAAAAAAGTGAAATCACTAAAACCACAACAAAGTGGGTGAGTGAAAGCTGGATAGTAGGTAAGTATCTTGTTTAAATAACTGTTAGGTTTAGCTGGACCAGCACTAAATGTACATAAATACACAGACGTGTCTCAAAACTAGAAACAAAGTAAGAAATGACTAGCCTTTTAAGGCTTCTCCACTAACTCATAATGGGAGTATAGGGCCAACCAGTAAATTGTTTAAACTGATGGTAGCTTTATTAGACTGCTTGTTTTAGCCCAGGATTTGCCCTGTCCCCAATCTATATTAACGTAAATATACCAGGGTGAGAGTAAATACCTTATTGGTGAGGGTGTCTGAGACCAACAGATACTATCTAAGGAGTAACATAAAGTCCTAAGAAAGGTTAATTAGAAAGTTTGTAGGACAGTAAGATAAAAGTCTCTCTCCCTGGTAAACTAGCTAGTCAGTAGAGACAGAATAAAAAGAGTGAATAATTAAATCAGTGAAAACACTGCATATCTATATTATATAGACATCCCAAGTGCATAGGTGCCCAACCCCCCACTCAGAACATAACGCCTGACGCGCGTTTCGGTGCACCGTCGTCAGATAAATAGTATCACCACCCAACGAAGAAGATGATGAAAGAGCATCTCCATACATAAGTTAAAGTTTCTATCGTGAATATCAAACTGTCAGATACTGAGGACAGGTCACAATTAACTATTTTGAGTACATAGTATTCTTGAATCCGTATCAATACATAAATGTTCCATCTACCAGTTTATTAAAAAAATAAAAAATAAAAAAAGAATTTCAAAAGATTCTCAAAACACTTCTGGATTCAAACTGTGATGTCACAATGAGCCTGAAGGTAAGCTTAGTGCATCTTCACTCCCTCTCACATGCCATCGAATTTCACTCATATTAATATGTTCTCAGAGGTCTAAGGACAAATCCCAAAACTCCTCAGTAGTCCATAAAAAAAAAAAAAAAAGCTTCCCAGTGGATACTACCCACACAAAAATACACTGACCTAACAAACAGGAGAGAGAGCCACCACAAACACAGAAGTAAGTTGGTACTTAGTAACTCAGGTAGACCAACACTGTTCACGGTTACCTAAATAAACCTCTTTTCCAACATTCGGTTTAGGAGATGGGCAGTTCCACACAGAACTCACCTGTTGGATGAGAGGCAAAAGCCAACAGGAAAACACTGAAAGGTAAAAAGGACAATGTGTAAGAGGTCTACAAACAGACTTTGCAACATTATTTCATTTGTACGATGCTTGTTGAGTTTAAAGCGAATATGCTAGGACAAAAGGAGAGCGAGATTAAGGCTTGGTCGAGGCTAGCGATAGCTAACCGTTGCTTACCAGATGTTCTAAGCTACATTACTAGTATGCACAGTCAAACTGCACATGGTTCAAAAGCATTTAGGATGCCAAGTTTGTCATTAACTCGCCCCTCTTCTCCATCCATCCCCCACTTACATGTATGCTAGTCAGAAAACGAGATAAGCTGTGAAAGTGTTGCAAACATTTTTAACAACCAGCATAATTAAAAAGTAATAATAAATAAGGCAAATACATTCTTGCAGAAAATTTCAACCGAAAAAAAAATCACCACCACCCATCACCAGTGTCTTTATTTTCATTACTGTAACATTAACCAGATTCCTGTGGCTTTTGTCAAACAAAAAGCCAGTCTTCTATAAAGTTAAAATGCTAGCATATTCCTTACAGGACTGTGATATCACCTCATAACTCACTTCTTCGATGGATCATATAATTTTCTGGGAGGAGAGCTGCATTTGTTTTCTTTACAGAAAGGAATCAGGGTTTTAAGAAAACATATATGTTAAGTCGTTTTAAAGCAGACTTGAAAGTATTTGGGTTTTGAGAACACTGGACACGGAAAACTCCATCAGTACTTTATGTTTAGCAGGAGATATGGAAATAAAATCAACAATCTATTATTTTAATGGTGTACTTTTTATTTTTTATTTAAAGGGTAGTTCAGATGCTAACTTGCATGTGTCTACCACACTTACACATCTAAACAAGTAAAACAAGAGTAAACTACTAAGATGCAAGGTAAAAATAAAAAAACAAATGTGGGGGACAGTGATAAAGGGGGAGGGGTGAGCACTAATGAGGTGGAAAATGAAGTCTCCATATTTTAACCATATTGGATTTATTATAGGACTTATAGCTGAAATCCACAGAGGGTATAAAAAGACTTACAAAATACTAATATTTATGACTTTTTGCAGGTTATGAATATGAAGTGTGACAGTGGCGAGCTCTGCCTACACAAAAGTCAATAGTCGGGGTAGAGCAAGCTAAAGCCTGGCAGTATCGGAATAATGATCAAAAATGAAACAAGCTGTGGTACTTTTAATAAATCTTAAGTGGGTAGATAAATGTTAGTTTGGTTGCAAGAAAAAAAAAAAATCTAAGTGTGTATGTAATATAATATAAAAATACACACCCGCACACTACTAGGGATCGACCGATATTGATTTTTTTTTTTAGAGCCGATACCGATATTCTGTGAACTTTTAGGCAGATAGCCGATATAATTTGCCGATATTCTGTACATTTATCGTTTTGGAAAATAAAAACTATTTCTAAAGGTAAATGCACAAAATATACATGTCACGTGTAGTGGATGCAGTGTGTTTAGACAGGGGAGCTGTGTGTGTTTGTGTAGTGTGTGCAGTGGATGCAGTGTGTGTTTGTGTAGTGTGTGTGTAGTGTATGCAGTGTGTGTTTGTGTAGTGTGTGTGTAGTGGATGCAGTGTGTGTTTGTGTAGTGTGTGTGTAGTGGATGCAGTGTGTGTTTGTGTAGTGTGTGTTTGTGTAGTGGATGCAGTGTGTATTTTTCTAGTGTGTGTAGTGGATGCAGTGTGTATTAGTGTAGTGTGTGGGTAGTGTGCGTTAAGTGAATGCTGTATATACTAAATGCAAAGTGTGTGTGTTTGTGTAGTGTGTATATAATGAATGCAGAGTGTGTGTGTATTTGTGTAGTGTGTGTGTGTGTAGTGAATGTATTGTGTTTATATAATGCAGAGTGTGTGTGTTTGTATAGTGTGTGTATATAATGCAGTGTGCATTATATAAACACTACACAAACACTGCATTATATACATACACACACTGCATTATATACACACACACTACACAAACAATGCATTATCTACACAGTGTGTTTGTGTAGAGTATGTGTATATAATGGAGTGTGTGTGTTTGTATAATGTGTATATAATGCAGTGTGTTTGTATAGTGTGTGTATATAATGCAGTGTGTTTGTGTAGTGTGCATTATATAAACACACTACACAAGCACACTATGCAAACACACTGCATTACATACACACACTATGCAAACACACTGCATTATATACACACACTACATTATATACACTGTGTGTTTGTGTAGTGTATGTGTATATAATGGAGTGTGTGTGTGTTTGTATAGTGTGTGTATATAATGCAGTGTGTTTGTGTAGTGTGTGTATATAATGGAGTGTGTGTGTTTGCATAGTGTGTGTATATAATGCAGTGTGTGTAGTGTGCATTATATAAACACACTATGCAAACACACTGCATTATATACACACTACACACAAACACACTGAATTACATACACAGTGTGTTTGTGTAGTATATATAATGGAGTGTGTGTGTTTGTATAGTGTGTGTATATAATGCAGTGTGTTTGCATAGTGTGTGTATATAATGCAGTGTGTTTGTATAGTGTGTGTGTATATAATGCAGTGTGTTTGTATAGTGTGCATTATATAAACACTACACAAACACACTGCATTATATACACACACTATGCAAACACACTGCATTATATACACAGTGTGTTTGTGTAGTGTATGTGTATATAATGGAGTGTGTGTGCGAGGGGGCATTTTTTATTAAATTATTATTTTTTATATTTAATTTTTATTTTTTTGTCCCCCCTCCCTGCTTGTTATCTGGCCAGGGAGGGGGGATACAGCAGTATTTACTCACCTTCTAGCAGTCCTCCAGCTCCCCAGTGTAATTCTCGCAGCCAGTGTGCCGCGCGGAGTGTTGCCATGGTAACCTGTGGCAACGCTCTGACGGCCGCGGGTCTCGCGAGCCTTACACTGGGGAGCTGGAGGAGCTGCTGGAAGGTGAGTAAACACTTGCTGCCTGCCCCCCCAGGCTTGTAATGAGCCTGGCGGTCCAGAGATAGATAGATAGATATATATATATATATATATATATATATATATATATATATATATATATATATATATATATATATATATATATATATCTGAATTGGCCGATACCGATATTGCCGAAAATACAGAATATCTGCTGATTATATCGGTAAAACCGATAATCGGTCGATCCCTACACGCTACATTGAGAAGAAGATGTCTGGGTGCATATAGTGTTCCTTTAAAGACTTTTGTATTGCAACAGCCCATAACCGTGTATTTCCTTGCTTAATGAAGTGGTTCTGGTGTATAAGATCATGCCCCTGGTTTCACAATTCTCTAACCACACCTCTCCTCACTGTGATTTCCCTATATACTTACTGAATAAGAAGTGTTCATTTTTAAAACTATATGTGCAGAGTGTGTTTATTTTAGAAGTTCTTATCTCCTATTCTGTTAATTGCCAACTATTTGCAAAGCAGCCTTATTCTGTTAATTGCAAACTAGATAAACATAAAGAAAGAAAAATAAAAATAAAACTTCACAGGAAAAAACAACAATTCTTTCAAGCCCGCAAACTTGTGGCCTGTTCCAGCACAGTGTGGGTGTTTCATTTATTAAATATGTCATTCTTTTAATTATTTAATAATGCATATTTATTTTTATGCATATTTGTATTGATTCCAAACGTGTTCACTGTGTCTACAATCACTCTCTGTGAGATGTATTTGATTGGACACTCCAGGCATAAACAAGGATGTTAGTGCTGGGCAAAAAGAGGCTGGATAAGCTTAGCTGCAAATTTTGCAGAAGAGGTAGAATTTTTGGAACTTGGGAAAATAACGTTTAAATATTGAAAAATGAATTTATCTTTAATTGCCTTTTTTAAAGTGTAGAAAAATGTGCATTTTAAAACATGGACTTTAACTTGAATATTGTACCTGCTTCAAAAGATTTCTCCAAAATGGAAACTTTTCTTTTTTATTTCCTAATGTAATTTTAATGATTTTCATGTGTGTGTTTTTTTCCTTCTCTGTATGAAATTGAAATAGCAAATGTCTGATTTGTGGGGAGCCCAAAATCTGGCAACACAGCGCAATGCTTTGGCACAAGAACAAAAAGGTCATTTTATTGTATAGTATTACATAAAACATTTTGTAATAAATTGAAAATGTGGTTCATCTCGATATTCCAACCACAGCAAATTTAATGTAAAACTAAGTATATTATACATACCTGAAAACATAGTTTATGTATTGCTGATCAAGGTCACTGTTCAATAAAAAAAAAAAAAATAATTAAAAATACATATTAAATACTATTTTTGTGTGTTAAATCTTAAATAATGTATAAATACATACATTTGAGTACAATTTTCTATTAAAGGGACACTAAAGTCACCAAAACAACATTAGCTTAATGAAGCAGTTTTGGTGTATAGATCATGCCCCTGCAGTTTCACTGCTCAATTCTCTGTCATTTAGGAGTTAAATCACGTTTCTATCTCTTTAAGCAGGCCTAGCCACACCTCCCCTGGCTGTGACAGAAATAGCCTGAATGAAACAATAAAAATGGTTTTACTTCCAATCAGATGTAACTTACTGTAAAGGTTTTTATCTCCTGCTCTGTATATTGAGCTTTAATCACACACAATAGGCTTCTGAAGGGTCTAGCAAGCTATTAACAGAGCAGGAGATTAGAAATACTAAATTAAATAGAATTTACAATAAAGGAAGTGTAAACATTAGATGAATCTTTACAGAAAGTGTTTAGGAAGGCTGTACAAGTCACAGGCAGGGAGGTGTGACTAGAGTGCATAAACAAAGTGATTTAACACCTAAATGGCAGAGAATTGAGCAGTGAGACTGCAGGGGCATGTTCTATACACCAAAACTGTTACATTAAGCTAAAGTTGTTTTGGTGACTATAGTGTCCCTTTAACCCTGAACAGTTCATTCAGGAGTCTGTGGCACTGACGAACAGTAAAGTGCCAAAACATTGGAGAAAAGTTTTAAACTTACATGTCTATCAGTCAAGTGCCCATTGTCCTTCTGGTCGGAACTGGTGTGATAATTTGGAAGTATAAACTTCTGCATTACCATACCCCCTTTGACAGAAAGGACTGCGGGTACCATACAGTTTGACAATACACCACAGGACGGTGCGTGGCATCATAACCACTACATCACATTGAAGTGGTTATGGTGCTCAAAGTGTCCAATTAAGGGGTACCCAAAGCAAGAAGATTCAAGTTTACAATATGCTGTTAAAATACAGAACCAAATATAAATGTTTTTAAATAACCAAGAGTTTGCAACTTTTGTGGTCAACATCACAAAACATATAAAAAATGAATCTCTAAAGCATCAAAACGGAAAACCACGTCTGAATCAGAAGTTTAATTGTATCACAAGTCAACAAAATTAGTGGTTAACAGGCAAGTTGCACTAAATGCTACCAAATGTACAGATATGTCAACAGAAGTTTTGCTGCAAATACAGCATTCTTAAAAGAACACTATAGCTTAAAGGGACACTGTAGTCACTATAAGCATTTCATCTCTTTGAATTAGTTATAGTGCCTGGAGTGCCCTGGCACTGTCCCTCCATTCAGTGTTGCACCATGTTCGTGCAGTATGCCACAAAATAAGAGTCCCTGGCCACCCACAGTCCGGCCCCTTCAGTATGTGTAGCTAAGGCAGAGATTACACACTTCCTTGTTGTCATACCCATTCATACCGTCAGTTGGAACTCTGACAGGCTAAAAGCAGTCAGCTGACACTCTCAGCCAATCACAGCTGCCCATTTCTGCTCAGGCTAATACTTCCTTATTAGCCAAAGCAGCTCAGAGGGGATGGATTGCCGGGGACTCCTGTTTAGCATTAAAACTTTAAAAACTGTTTAATGCTGATAGAAATGATGGGACCAGAAGACTCCAGACACTATAACCAGTTTAATGAGATGAAGCAGATACAGTGCCTACAGTGTCCCTTTAATGTAGTGATTCTGGTGTCTATAGTCAGTCCTTACAAGACAGTGTTTAAATTAGTGACTAGTAACACCTCTGCGTGCTTCCCAGTACCTACGTTCAGCCTCTCCCAAGAGATGCATCTATATGAGGAGATTATGATTGGTGCAGTGCAACGTTTTGCCGTGCATGCACAATAGCTTCCCAATTCTTTCCTATGGGAAAGCATTGAATTGGCTGAGATCATCAAGATTGATGATCTCGGCCATGGAGGTGGGACTGACAAATCAATATTCACAATGTTTTGATTCAACCAAGAATGCATTATGTATGGATCCTAAATACGTAGTAACCAATTCTAAGCATGGCTTGATCTGAGTTAAAGGACCACTATAGTGCCAGGAAAACAAACTCGTTTTCCTGGCACTATAGGGTCATTAGGTCCCCGAGACAGCCACTAGAGGCTGGATTAACCCTCAGTGAAACATAGCAGCTTCTCTGAAACTGCTATATTTTCAGCTGCAGGGTTAAACCTAGAGGGACCTGGACCCAGACCACTTCATTGAGCTTTAGTGGTCTGGGCTTTAGCAATCTATTGCAAAATCAAGGAGCAAAGCTAGTAAAGTATAATTGCCAGAAAAGCTACTACACTTCTATCATGGCAATCTGAGAACTCCCCATTTTTCAGTAAGTTAATGACCAAAACAAACCTCCGAGATGTGCAGGTGAAAGGTTTATCCTACTTAGTCTCCAGAAAGAAATCCTGCAGAAATACTATATATTTATGTTCTTCATCTTTTAAAACATGAAATAAACATTCCTTTCCACTCAAAAGGCAAGCAGATATTGAACCATGGTCCAGCTGTACATAGCACAGTAGACAAGTGCATACAAAAGCCAAGTTACAAAGTATACAAGTGTCAAATTAGGGTTAGTAACAAAGTACAAGAAAACAAGACGATAGTCCACAGTAGAAGGAATACTTGCAGACGAAAGGATGCATTGGTACAAGATTTCAGAAAGGGTACATGGCACTATGTCAGAAAAAATGAATCCTGACCAGTTATAACCTACATTCACACCTGGAATAAAAAATTTAAAAAAATCCAGAAATGTGAGTACTGACGACTAACACAAGGATGTGGTATGCAGCAGGAACGGTAAACAAAAGTTTTAATACGATATAAAATAGATTACTTATAAACCTTAAGCGCTTTTGTCATTTCACTGAATAATTCATTTGGACCACACTCCCAGCCAAATATCAAACCAAACAACATTTTGTTCTTCAACAGTAGCTAAATGTGGCTTGGGCCTTTTCCTAGAAATACACTTTCAGAATTGTTAGCTATGTATGTTATAAATACCTTAGCATGCTTGACTTCAGAGTTTTCTGGAATGCCCTGTAACACCCTGTCAAAGAAAACCAAAAATAAAGGAAACGGTAAACAATGTGTGATTTCTCATTACTAGAAAAGACCAGGTTTAAATGGATATTCTCATAGAGTTGAGCTTTGACACTCAATAAATCCGATGTAAATATACACCGTGAACTTCATGGACTGCTTGATGGAATTGTTTCCAGAAAGAACAGCACATAGAAATCAGTAAACACAGGATGAATTATCAGGAATTCAAAGGAAAATCAAAGTGAATTTCAGATTTTTTACTACAAATAAATG